GGCTGGTCTCGACCCCCTGGACTCAGACAGTCCTCTCCCCTTGGCCTCCCAAAGTGCTGGGATTATAGGCGGGAGCCATCGCCCCTGGCTGAGGTGATTCTTTTTTTGTGTGAGTTGGAGTCTCACTCTGTTGCCCAGACTGGAGTGCAGTTACACACTCCTGGGCACCGCAGCCTCAACCTGCTGGGCTCCGGCGATCCTTCCACCTCAGCCTTCCAAGTAGCCAGAACTACTGGAGTGCACTCAAATAATTTTTTGATTTATTATAGAGAGGAGGTCTCGCCAAGTTGCCCAAGCTGATCTCAAACCCGTGGGCTCTGGCAATTCACTTGTCTCAGCCTCCCAAATAGCTGGGATTACAGGCCGAGCCACTGGGCCTGGCCATGATTCTCACTCTGGATTGGAGATGGCACAAAATGGTTCCTTTTCATTCTTGCAAATTATCTAGTTATAGAAAATAGCCCTTGCAGCTCCTTCCTGTTGAAACTTGACACAGGAAGTATTTACTTGTACTGAAAGTAATATGAAGAGGGTCATCTAAATCCAAGGTTTCCCAACCTGGTTCTCTTAAGAAAATAAAATACAGGTTCTCAAAACCTCTAACTCTTACCCTAACTCTAATCCTACCCCTAACCCTGATCCTAAGTCTGTTGGACTCGAAAGCCCTTACTCTTTTTTTTTTTTGGGGTCTAAGTCTCACTCTGTCACTCAGACTGCAGTGCATGGAGTGCAGTGACACAATCACAGCTCACTGTAGCCTCGACCTCCTGGGCTCAGGTGATCCTTTCACCTCAGTCTTCCAAGCAGCTAGGACTATAAGCACGTGCCACCATGCCCAGTTAATTTTTTTTTTTTTTTTGAGTTGGAGTCTTACTCTGTTACCCAGACTGGAGTGCAGTGGCCGCTCCCGGTCACTGCAGCCTCGACCTGCTGGGCTCCAGGGATCCCTCCGCCTCAGCCTTCCAAGTAACTGGAACTACAGGTGCGCGCCATCACACCCGGCTAATTTTTTATTTATTGTGGAGATGAGGTCTCGCCAAGTTGCCCAG